AGAAACAAATCAAAAGGGAAAATTAAAAAATAAATCTCAAAACAAATGGAAATGAAAACACTATAGATGCTATAAAAAGCAGTTCTGAGAGGAAAGTGCATAGTGATAAGTGCATATGTTAACACAATAGAAAGATCTCAAATAAACGCCATAACTGTATATCTCAAGGAACTAGAAGAACAAATTAAGTCTAAAGTTAGACAAAGGAAGAAAATAACAAAGATTAGAACAGAAATAAAAGAACGAAAGACCAGAAAAACAATAGACAAGATTGATAAAAACTAAGAGCTGTGTTATTTATTAATCCTTAGGTGAGGGTTTTTTTATTTTTATTCTCACCTAAGGACATTTCTTTGCATTTATCTTCAGATGGAGTGGATGGGAGAGAGGAAGAGAGAGAGAGAAACATCCACGTGAGAGAGACACACTGAGCGGTCACCACCCACACGACCCCAACGGGTCCGGGGACAAACTGCAACTGAAGTACGTACCCCTAGTGGGAACCGGACCCGGGTCTCTCCTGTCTATGGGCCAATGCTCTCACCGCTGAGCAAAAGTGGCCAGGGCTCAGCTGAGGTTATTTTTTCCACTGATTTTTGTTAGAAAGAATGGAAGGGAGGATGGGAGAGGAGGAGAGAAAGAGAGAGAGAGACAGACATTGATGTGGGAGATACATGGACAGCCTCCCACCTGTGCCCCAACTGGGGCTGGGGATCCAACCTGCAACCCAGTATGTGCTCTTGACCAGGAATCTAACGTGTGACCCTGCAGTAAATGGGCCGACATTCTAAATACCCAGCCACACTGGCCAGGGCTGTTTTTTATCTGTTTGTTTGTTTGTTTGTTTTTAAGGATAAACAAAATTGACAAATGTTTAGCTAGATTAACTAAGAAAAAAAGAGAAGACTCAAACAAAATCAGAAATAAAAAAGGAGACATTACAACTGGTGTCACAGAAATACATAGGATCATAAGAGACTACTATGAATAATTATATGCCAACAAATTGAACAACCTAGAAGAAATGGATTTATTCCTAGAAACATACAACCTAATAAGACTGAATCATGAAGAAATAGAAAATCTGAACAGACCAGTAACAAATAAAGAGATTGAATAAGTAATCAGAAACCTGCCAACCAGAAAAGCTTAGGACCAGTCAGCTTCACCGGTGAGTTCTTCCAAATATATAAAGAAGAATTATGCCAATCCTTCTCAAATTCTTCCTGAAAATAAAGGGGAGGGAACATTTCCAAACTCATTTTATAAAGCCACCATTACCCTGATACCATTACCCAAAGCCAGAGAAGAACACTACAAAAAAGAAAACTATAGACCAATATTTCTAATGAAATTCTCAACAAAATATTAGCAAACCAAAACAACCCATTGAAAGGAATATACAGGGTTAGGCAAAAGGAGGTTGACAGTTGTGAGTATACAGAGTTTAATTCTTGTATTATTTATAAATTATTGTATTATTTTCCATTTGAACAACTGTAAACTTACTTTTACCCCACCCTTATATGCCACAATCAAGTGGTATTTATCCTTGGGATGGAAGGATGGTTCAACATACACAAATCAATAAATGTTGCCCCGCTGGTGTGGCTCAGTGGTTGAGCATCAACTTATGCACCAAGAGGTCGCTGGTTCAATTCCTGGTCAGGGCACATGCCCAGGTTGTGGGCCAGATCTCCAGTGGGTCATGCAGGAGACAGACAATTGATGTTCTCTCTCATAGATGTTTCTATCTCTCTTTCCCTCTCACGTTCTCTCTCTAAAATCAATAAAGAAAAAAAGAAAGTGATACACTACATTAATGGAATGAAAGGCAAAAATCATGACTTTCTCAGTACATGCTGAAAAAAAAAAAATACAACATTGTTTTATGATTTAAAAAAAACACCCTCAGCAAATTTGGTATAGAAGAAACATATCTTGGAACAGGCTGTTCTTTGGAACTGTGCTTATTCAGTCTTCGGCCTCAATTAGGATCAAACTATTTCCAACAGAACTGGCTGGAATTTGGCCTGTAGGCTGTTTGGGTCTTTGCTCTAGCAAAAAACAGTTCTGAAAAATAAGATACCAGTTATCTAAATACTTTAAAGGTCCCCAACCCTCCCCCTGCTCTTTACAAGGACCCTGGCCAATTTTGTGTTTCAAAACCATGACTAGAACTTAGATTTCCTAATTCAATATACTTAGGTAACTCTAATGAGGATAATGTTTTTGGCTTAGGAAACCAATGAATATTTAATTCCTCATAAACCATTTGTCCTATGGCTCCTTTCACACTGATTCAGTGGCATTTATTGCTTCCGGGAAAGCTTAATCCACCTAGAGAAAAGGGATCTTGGATTTGTTTTGAATCTTAAAAATGACTTTTTTGAGCCCCTTGTGAGACTGTTGTCTTGAAATCCAGGCTTTTTAAAGGGGGGGGGGGCGAATCACTCTTTTGCAAACCAAGAGCAAAGTTTAGTTATTTGAAAATAGAGTTTTATAATGAGCCATAATAGAAAAAGAATGAGGGATATGATCTAAGAGAAGTCCCACCATATGAAAAGTAAAAAGTGCTAGAGAAAGAGTTAAGTGTGTATGAGGGAGAAATGAGCAAGAAACAAGACAGCATTGTTTACTCACAATGCAACTCGGAAGATTGATAGTTTTGGGAGGAATTTGGGAACAACAGTGGCTGAGAGGTCAAGAGCCCATGTGCTAACATGGTTTAGCCACAATAGCATGAGAATGGTGGTATAATGTGTTAGGCAGGAAAACTGGTTTCCCATGGCAGGTGCATATTGCAGAAGAGATCTAGAGTTCTGAGTGAATCTGAGGAGAAATAGAGTAGTTTAGAAATAAGCATTAATATATCTCAGTAGAGGTCTCTGTTCAAAGGAACATCATAATGATTACTGCAAGTCCAAGTTGAGGCCCAGATGGAGGATGTTGCTAAGTCTCAGAAGATCAGTAACATCAGTGAAAATCAATGTGACAGCCTGTTCAGCAGGAGGCAATGGCTGAACTTGAGAGCAGTCACCATGCATTGCCTACGTGAAGAGTTTAGATTCAGTGACCAGTTTAAGCAGTGGACACAATAAGCATATAGACCAATGCCCAAAGCCCAGACGAGGCAAGCTCTGCATCTACCAGGCATATGGGTGCCAGGAGAGAAGGACAACATGCAGACTAGACAACACCCCCACTATACCATTGCTCAAATATTATATAAACTTCTGTGCCCAGATAGAAAAAGGTGAAAGGAAAAGAGAATGAATGAGAGGGAGAAATCTTGAACATTAGTCTTCTAAGGACAAAGTTTACCTTAAATAAATTGTTTTAACTTTGATTAGGAAAGCCTAAGTTTTTCACTTAATGTTGCATTTTGAAAATTACACACTAACAGAAAAAGTTGAAAGATTTCACAATGAACATTTTTGTTTTTTCTCCAACACATCAGTTTTTAACATTTTGTTATATTTAATCATTCTACTTATCTATCATCTATTAATTTCTTGCCTAACCATTTCAAAGTAAGTTGCAGACAGCATGGCATTCATGTCTAAATATTAGGTTTAACCTCATGAAATTGCTAATACTTAGTCATTTTTGTATGTTGAACGTACTATTTTGGAATGCATTTCCTGAGAATAAGCACACTCTCCCACAGAACTATAATACTACCAGCACACTTAAGAAAATTTACATTAATTCAGTAATATATAATACATATTTAACATTTTCCAAAATATCTTTTATAGGTAGTAATTCACCTTCTCCGTGCTAGTCTAGGATCCAATTTAGGATTATACGTTGCTTTTGGTAGTTACGCGTTTTTAGTCTTTAGAACAGTCTCCTTGTCTGTTTTCATGATGTTGACTTTATTTTTTATAGAATTATACATTTTGGATTTATCCGACTTGTTTTATCACAATTAGATTTAGATTTAGATTAGACATTTTTGACAATAACACTACATAGGTGACATATACAGGATAATGTTTTGAGACCATCTGAATATCATGTTTCCAACAATTTTATTCAAAGTTATAGCATCCATTTTTGATTCTTAGTTTACATCAGAAGTTACCAGATGATGAGTTTCAAATTCTATTATTTTTTTCTATACTTCTTAGAGCAATTCTTTTTTTTAATCATCAACTTGTAATCTTTATTCTTAATTTTTAATCTGCTTATCCTAAGGTGGTTAAGAAAACTCTCATTTGACTATGAGAACTCATTTAAATTTGCTAAAGGAACTATGATGATAAAATTATATAGCCATTTGGAAACAATATCCATGAGCTAATACAACTTTTTTTTTATCCTCACCCGAGGACATTTATTGATATTTTGTTCAGACAGAGTGGGAGGGAGAGAAAGAGAGAGAAACATCGACATGAAAGGGACACATGGAGTGGTTGCCACCCACACGACCCAACCAGGGCCGGGGACAAACTGCAACCGAGGTACATGCCCTTAGCGGGAACCGAATCCAGGTCTCTTCGGACCACAGGCCAATGCTCTAACCACTGAGAAAAACTAGCCAGGGTGAACTAATACAACTTTTAATAAAATTTTCAGGTTTCAATCCCAATAACCTAGAGAATAGGGCTAAAGCCTATTCATAGTCACGTCATTCCAGAATCAGTAGTTATTGCCAGAACTATCAATATGGGGAGGGAAAAGGAATAAGAGATAGTGCTGATAGACAGTTTTAATGATACATTGCTCCTCACAGATGGCTGCAGAGACTTTAAGCTATAATCCAGGAATACACAACTATGCAACACAGACCGATCAGTCAGACTAAAATAAACTGGCTTCGTATAACTACCCTGTAAACATCACAGCTCTTCTTCCTCGCAAAATGACCCTAATCTCACATGAAAAGTTAATGTAAGGAAAGCAGAAACCTAGCTTTGTGGCCAAAAGTAAAAACCAAAGGAAAAGTAGCAATTTGGTGGTTATTTGGTAAAAAACAGGGAATCTGGTGCCCTTCACTGTGCTGCTTTGTTCTTACTCTTGCTCTTTTTGTCCCTCTTCTTCAGCCCGTCCATGTTAGCTCTCAATAGGTTGGAATAAGCCATCTGGAACTTATTCACTTCTTGGGAGCTCACCACTGTGCTAATCTTCTTTGTCCCATCAGTAGCTCTTAACAGACACTTGTTGTCTGAGGGCTCAAAGCCCTCCACTGAACCTTTCCTTGGAATGTGTTTAGTTTGACCATCACACTTCTTCAGGGTGATGAACACACTGCCCGACAAATGGCACTTCTGGAAGAGCCTGGTCAGCTCCATCAGGAACTGCTCACTTTCCAGCAGAATCATCTCGGCTCTGCTGGCTCCACTCAGTCAGCCTAAGACCCCGCTTAGAGCAATTCATTTAAAAAATAGCTAAAATTCTCTTACTCTCTCTTGAATATCATTATGGATTCATATGTTTTATTTTACTTCATTAAATGCATTATAAACCATTATCATCATTATTCTTTTTTAGCTCAAATTTTTATGTATTTGATCAGCAGGACACCACTTCACCCTGGCTCCTTTGCCCTTTTGGCATGACCTCATTCGTCTTTGAGTACCTCCTTTGCTATCTGGCATATCAAAATGTTCCAGGTTCACTTAGTACTTTGGCTGCTACAGACCTGAAGTCATTACTCCAAGGATCCTGGTCTCTTTTTAGTGGACAATGGTATTTAGAAACCAAGATCTAGGTTCCAGCTGTGCTTATTACTATGGAGTGTTTAGTTTCTAGGCCCAATAAGGGGCTCCAGACCACACCTGACTATTAGAGTGAAATTTTAACTCTCACTCAACCTTATAACTATGTAATTTATTAGGGTTATTTCCATTACTCATACAGAAATCAGAGTGGTATTTTAAAATGTAAATTAGATCATATAATTTCCTCTGCTTAAAATCGTCACATAGTAAACTTCAGCTACATTTATATTCCATCAGTTCCTCTTGTGCAGTAGTCTCTGGGGGTGTCCAAGAAGGTCCATTTTTAAAAATCTTATCCTTTAAAACTCAAAATTTTGTGTCTATTTTATAATGTATATATCAGTACAATAGCACACATAATGTAAAAATAACTAAATATAGTTGGAGTTGTTTGACCAAAAAATATTTTTTAATTGCTGAGATGTCTGATCTTGGACATCCCACCCCCCACCCCACCCCTCAGCATTGTTGTTTATGTCCACTGGTTATGCATGCATGCGTATAAGTTCAATCAATGGGAGAATTAAAATGGGATAAAGAGAAAAATACTCTAAAAGCTCTCACTCCAAGGACCTCCATTTAAATCCAGGTGAAATTTATTATAAGTAATACCTGTGTCACCTGGTTATCGTAGAGAAAGGAAAGAAGTGTTATTTAAGGCCTCATGTATCCATGCATCCACTCTGGTGTGTGGGATGGGGTAGAAAGGTAGCTTCAATTTCCCACTCCTTCACATGTTGATTTTGAGTATATAAATGGTGCAGAAAAAAAAAATGTTTTGAATGCACTAGTTGGACTACACCACTGTCTTGCCACCATCCTTTCTCTTTTCACTTTTCTTTAGCTCTAGTTACATAAGTGTAGGTTCCCGGAAAACCTCAGCTGAAGTGAGTGTTACGATTTTTTTGTATGTAATATTTAAAAACACTAGGTGTTTTTTCAATAGTGTGGCAAGTTTGGATTCTTTTGACATCCTTTGGTAGTAATATGATTAAAATCAGTGGGGCTTCTGTTTTTCCTTTTCATTTTCTCTAAACTACAGTAGTTAATTTATGGATAGGCATTCAATATTAAATATTTCAGCCAAAAATACTCTTCGGAGGGTTATAATTTTTCAACCTTTTTACTGCAAGTACAATAACTACAATTAATGGCAATCATACTTTGTGTATTATAAATTATATTTACATTTTGGTCTTAAGTATAATTTGTATGACAAGTTCATTTTCCTTGTTGAGCTCACTTGATGCTTCCACATGTATTCCTTCTCTCCATTCTGCTTATCTTTTTTCACTCTGTAGGTAGTTTTGACAGGGCTGGAATAATCTGGAAAGAATGATTACACTACATGTAACTAAAGTTATCATTTTAGCACTGTGGTTATGTGTTTGAAAGGAATCATTCAGAACCTTCCAATAAGGAAAATAGATTAGGCCAATTTTGTCCTTTATCATCATCACCACCATCATCATCAAATGTGTAAGTTTCCTCATGCCCAGCAGAATCACATGTGGCTTAAAAATTATTTGATTTACTGTAGTCATTTTCACTGATGGCTCGAAGAATGGCCACAGATTTGGAAACACCAATCTCTGCAATCTATCTTTAGAAATCATGATTAAATGGACCCGAAAACTTGATAATCACTCATTCTCAGATCATGTAGACACCATCAGAATCAGAACTACACCCAAGGATTCAGTTCAGTTCCTGTTTTTCAGTTGGTGAAATGTAAAAACAGACACATAGCTTGTGGGTTGTATACAGGGTGAAGCAAAAGTAACTCTACAGTCATTTGTATGAAAAATAACATAATAATTAAGAAATAACAATACAAGAATAAACTCTGTTTCATGTACTCACAACTATAAACCTATTTTTCCCTACTCTGTATTACTGGCAGAGGTGTTCTGTTAGGCCTGCCTTGTTTTGCTTTGTTTTATGTGTTAACCAATATCAAAAAGGATATTTTACCTCAAAATGTGGATTCCCAACTCCTTTTGAAAATGTTAGTATCCCTACATCCCAAGAATTCCTTTCCTACAAGACAACCTGTGTCTGTGTAGAGGTACATGCGCTCTCCGCAACCTGTAGTCCCTACCTCTCATTCAAGTACAGCCTACGTGTTTATACAGATCCCTAGGCACTTGTTTTCAGCCTTTAAACAAAAGCATGCACTGTGGGCAACTCAGAAACACTTGGCCTGGAAACCCAGGGCCTGGCTAGTTGTGACCATAATGTCTCTGGACCTTTTTCCTCATCTGTTCAGTTGGGCAAAAGAAACCTCTATTGACGATCTCCTGGGATAGTTGTGAACTTCAACTGAGAAAATCCATGTACAAACACTTTGAAGTGCTACAAGTATGAAAACATGCTAATCATATCCAGGTACAAAAAACTGATATACTTTGTCAACTAAAAATTTGAGTTTCTTCTGCTGAGAATAGTATTGCACTGTGGAAGAAATAAATAGAAAAAAGAAAACTGTCTCTGGTCCGAAGCAGAAATATTTTATTTCACAGGGAGCTGGTGTGATAGGAAGAACCTGATATTGAGGTAGAAGAGCTGCACAGAAGTCCTGGACGCCTTGCCTAAGTCATTGCACGGCATGGACCCCATTTCTTCATCTATAATGCATGGGAGACAGGACCTGCCCTCTGAATTCATAGCTTCGTGGGCAGGATTACGTCAAATAAAGTATGTGAAAGTAATGAATAAACTGTAAGACATGATTCTAGTATAGTCAATACTTTGTATTAGTGATAAAATATGAACACCTAGACTAACCATAGTTTCATGCCTAATATTACACACCTTAAGAGTTTGAAGAGATGACAGAGTCGTTTTGAATTAAATCAGAGACAACTTTTTGGAAGAGGAAAATTTTGACTGAGTCTCATTTCTGGCCATATGTTTGAGAAGGGGCTTATGTTGCTAATTAAAATAAGCTTTTAAATTTGTGTTTTACACCTTTTTCTACACCTTAGCTATGACAGGAATTGAATAGTTCACATGTTCTTCAGATTACTTACTTCCATATAAGACACATATAAAATTAAATTTAGAAAGAGTGCAAAAAATAACTTGTAATGATTTTGTGACTAAAAGTTCTTAGGACATTCATGAGGACTGGAAGGAATCTTTGAGATGATATTTTACAAACCAGAAAACAGAAGAACAAAGGACTTAAATGTCTTGTGCAAAATTTCAGAGCCATGGAGTTGTAGGGCCAACAGTCAAAACCAGCAGGTGGGCTCCATTGTTCTTTCTGCTGCACCACATTGATGCTGGGCAACTTCTGGCTAATGATACTGAATTAGTGGATATTTAGATAATCAGAGTGGGTTGGAAAAGTGGAGGAGGAAAGAAGGTTAATAAGATCGCTGGGAATTAGTTAATGAGTTTTGGGAAAACCTCAGCTTCTGTAAAAAAAAATATATATATACATATATATATATGTATATATATATTTTTTTCTTTTTCACATCCTTCTCCCACTTCCCACCCAACCTCTTCTGCTGTCCTTTAACGCGGGAGTTACCATCGTTACATTCTCAGCCCTGTCTTAAACATTTGCATGCCCTTGCAGTTCTGGGACACTGCTGAGGTTCCTTTTCTGATCAGCACGCTGGAGGAGGACAGCTCCTCCAGGAAAAGGAAAACTTTCCAAATCCCCAATCAGAGCGAGAAAGAACGCAGCCTTTGGAACAGTTTCTACGGAAGGCCAAGAAACATCGCTCTTCTCCCTCCCAACTCCCTTAACAAGGTGAGCATGAACTTTCTGTTCTCTTTTCCCACCGCCCAGGGGAACTGTCCCGAGTCCTCGCTATACAGAAGTTTAGGGCCTAAACTAGGTCATCCTTCCAGGTGTCTGGTGGTGGGCTGCCGCTAGAATTTAATTTCTCTCTTCCCTACCAGCCTCCAGCTTCCCTCGACCCTCTTCTCTTCTCGGTTCGGGAGCGAGAGAGGCGTCGTGCCCGGGGTTCATCGCCCGCTTTGAATGAGGGCTCCATACTCCAGAGGAGGCTCTTTGGGGAAGACAGCGGAGAGGCTGGGTGTCGAGTAGGTGGCTGTTCTCTTGCAACTGGCGGGACTTCTCCTTGGTTATGGATACGGGTGCCCTTCGTGGGCCCACCCCCTCATCCTGCATCGCATCCTGCTGCCTGGGAAGGGGCTTAGGAAGCCAGGAAGCAGGCAGACTAAGCAGAAAGCGGGCTTCACCAAAGTCGGGCTGCTTGGCTTTCTCCTCCCTAGCCACAGATGGCCGTGGGTTCCCCGCTTCCCCCAGCAGCCCCCCACTGTCGCCACCACGGTCGCAGTTGCCTTCCCTAGCAGCAACTGCCGGGTGACGGCTGCGCTGTCACTGGTTGGATTGGAGCTGGCGGCTGAGACGGGACACCGGGGTGGAGGAGTGGGGGAGGGAGGGTGTGGGAAAGGGGAGGTCAGCTCTGGGCGGGCGTTCTGGGGATCCAGCGCTGCCCCCTCCAGCAGCAGGAGCAGCACAGCAGCATCAACAGCCGCAGCCACAGTGGCCACCGCAGCGCTAGTGCGAGGCTGGAAGCACCGCGCAGCCGAGAGCGGAGGGGCGGCGGCGCCCGCCCCAGCCCAGCGGAGCCT